GGACTTATTAAAAAAAAGCAAAAGCAAAAATCTGTTCCAGAAGTCTTCCTGTGTTGTGGGGAGGATGGAGTGGGGGAGACATCTTTTCCTGCAGTGTGGCTCTGTGACTAAATGATTCTAATTATCTTTAAGTACAATTCCATTTTTCATACAACTTCAAATTATGCATCCTAGCAACTAGATTTTTCCAGTACTAGTGGATATTTAAAAGACTGAATGAATATTGGTATAATACTCAATATGTGTATTTTTAAGTGATTCATTAAAAAAAAAAAAAAAGTGTAAGATTAAAGGTCTACAGACTGATTTTTAGGTGAAAGTTGTTCTGCAATAGCTGAGACACATTTACAGTAGAAGAGTTATTTTGAATAATCCTCCTTTTATTCCAGAATAGATGTTTTATCTCTTCTGTTGTTATTTCTTTAATGTACCTGTGTAACATGAATTCCCTTCATACCTTTAAAGAAGATCTGAAGCAGGTCCTGACTAATGAATGATGATGTAGTCAATGCATTTACCATCAAATAGTTTATAAATATGGAATATTTTCAAAAGCTTGTATTTCAACCTTTTCAGTTTCCACTTACTCAATGCTGCACTCAGTAGTTGTTACTTTATTTGTGTTACAATTTTTCTTACCTCAACAAAAAGGAGATAAAGATCAAAATTCAGACATTAATTTAGGAATGAAGTTGAAATCATTAAATCTTTTTTAAGGAAAGCCATTTCAGCATGCAACAGCATAATCTTCAGAAACAAACAAACAAACAAAAAAAGCTACACTACGAGGAACTACTGAAAATTTATTTCCTGTAAAGACACTAAAAGCCGCTATGCACCATGGTACTCCAAAATTGTCATGCATTTGCATGCATGACATGTCATGCCAATGTAGATAATGTGACTTACTACCCACACAGCTCAGCAGGGGAAAAATAAATAAAAAGCTAGAAAGCTAAATAGCAAAAACTTGGATTGTTCCATAAGCAGTTGTGGAGACTGTGTACACAATTTCCTGGATAAAATATTCCACATCGGTATCTCAACAACAAAAGTTAAATCTTTAATTATTCTCCTTCGTATTTTAAGCCAAAAGTATTTGTAAGAGAGGTGAGCTCTAGTGTTTTTTTATGATGTTTTGCTTACCTTTCTTTCAAGCATTTATTCTAATTTTTTCATCCTTTTGCTGAACAGTTGAGTGGGTTGACCATTCTTTCTTGGTGTAAGAATTAAATTCTGACCTGGTGATTCTACTGAAGATTATAGGTGGTTGACTTATGTACAAAAATGCCCCACAGAAATGTTAGCAATTTTTGCCAACAGAAATTAGTTAGCAAAATTGCCAACGGAAATGTTAGCAAGATGCCAAATGCATAGGAGGATAAAAATGGTAATTTAAAATGAAGGAGAGTATTTTTAAATACTTAACTTAGTGTGCTCTCAGCCTCTTCTTGGAGGGCTACACCACATGGAGGACTGAGTCTACTACAGCTAATAGATGTTATCCTCGCAAGTAAGGTGCGTACATGATTGAAATGGTCACTGTTAATTTTTCTCTGATTTCTGTGTGCTCATGGATACTGCTGCATGGAAAGGACAATTACAGGTGAGTTGTGTTCCTGGAAAGAGAGCCTGTTGCACAAGTTTTTTTGTTTGTTTGTTTTCAGGAAGAATAATCACAGAGACTCCATTTTTGGCTGAACTCCAGATACAGTTTGCGGTGTTTGATGTTTTTCAAAAAAAAAAAAAAAAGGTGATGGCATTGATTTTGGTAGCCATTTGAAGGCACTTTCATGTCTTGGTTTCCTATTCTTGGTAATTGCAGCATAGTTAAAGCTAAGTAGGAAGTACTCTTGGTCATACTGATGTTAGTCTGCAGTTGAAGCAGGGTGGGTGTATGTGTGTGTGTTATTTACCTGTTAACTCTGATGGTGAATGAATACTGCCAGGATCAATAATTCCCCATTATTAGTATGTAAGGAAAAAAAAAAAAATAAAACTTTAGGAGGGAGAAGAATGTTTGGCATTTGCTAAGATTGAGCAGACGTAAGATCTGTTCAGTAAACTATTATACTGTTGTAAAACTGAAAACAAGAAAGGAATCCTAGTAACAGCATTCATGGAGAGGTAGGGAATTTTCCAATGTATTTTAAAATACTACACACTGAGGTCCTTTTATATGAGATCTTTTTATTGGTATCTTTAAAAAAATAAATCACACTTTCTCAGTGGAGGAAAAAAAATGTCCAGGCAGGCATCATACAAGTAGAAAAAGCAGTGTGAAAGTTATTGTTACACATTGTGTCCTTCAAGGAAAGCTGTCACAGAAAACAGCATTTGTGCAATTAATTTCACAAGTCTTTTAGAAAACAGCAAATTACGTTTTTTCAAAATGGTAACACTTTGCTCCAACAACTATCTAGCATGATGCAGTTTCTCATGCTGATTGAAGCTGTGCTTTCTCAGATGATAATGATGGTGAAAAGATGAGGTATTAAGAGACCCTGTAGAAACTTTACCCAAACTTGGCTTACTCCTGCCAAGAAATTACTTCAACCATCAGGAAAATCTAGGAAGGAATAAAGTTTGGTAGCATAGTAACTGAGATGGTTTAAAATGTGGCATAATCTGTTTGGTTTTGTAGGAGCAGGAGATCTGGATTATACTGCTATAAACTGCCAAGTGACTTTGGATGAGATATTTTACTGCCTGCTGCATTGGCTTCATCTGATTGATGCAGTCTTTAGGGGAAGGCAAGAAATCTTTCACATGCTTTGAAAATGCTTCAGGAAATGATCACAGAGTACAAAGAAGTCCTAGCTGGAAAAACAAAGGTAATATGGCATCTTATTGTCTGGATCATGAATTCAGCAACTGCAGTTTACACAAAACTATCATACAAAATGCTGACAGTACAGTTTTTGGAGGGCTTGAGTAGGACACATGCCTTGGAGTCAGGATGTGCTGGCAAGTCTGCACTTGGGAGCTTTTCTCCCCCTTGGGAGAGGTATTTATATATTAGATACATGGCAAAACCTCTCTGCTACTTAGGTCCATTTATAATTTCCCTGTTCCAACATTCAAGCTAAATGCTGAATGCACACTTACTGACTCAGTGGCTCTCTCCATCTATCCATTCCTCAAGGGACTGCTATTCTAGGCTCTGAGGTGACGTCAGCGCTCCTACTTCACACGGTATCGCTGATGTGGTACAGTTCCCTTCCTTAGCTGACACTGAGAAGATTAAGTTTTCCTTAGTAATTGTAAACTTTGGTTGGTGGCCCTGGTTTTGCTCCTCCACTAAGATCAGGAGTAAAGGGGAGTCTAAACCCATTCACACAAAGGTCATTCCTCTTTTCTTTTCAAAATGGGTTTAAAGCAGCTGCTATGAAGCAAGTAAAACACCTTGGCGTTCCTGCTCCCTGCCTGCAAAAGCCACAGGGAAGACTGCAGTGCATTACACTATGCTCAGGGAATGGAAAATTACCCTTTTTATCCAGAAAGAAGAGATTATTTTGAGTCACTAAACCAGGAACTAAAGAACCTGGACAGAGAAATGTCAGGCAGCTGTGCTGAGAAAAATACAACTTTCAAGCTGTTTTATCCACTAGTTATGAAAATTAAATACTGGTAGCTTAAGGGGGAGAAGGGAGTATATTCAGAGCCGAGCTCTTCATTTCTGGATGGCAGGGTTGGACTTGCATTTAAATCCAAACCAACCTGCTAAGGCTCTGAAATATGCAACAAAGACTTCTGAGTAAACTTTGCTCTGCCCACTAACAATACACAGGATAACCATGCTGTTTCAGTACTGACGTCCCATATTAATTGTAATGTCATCAAAGATGAAACAACAGGCCACATAATAAATCCCACTGCTCTTACCCATAAACTATGCCTGAAAGTCAGACAATTTTGAACTCTGCAGACCCTCCAAGCTGTTTATCCAGTCGCTTGAGAGAGGGAGAAGGGAAAACAATGCCAATGATGAAATCTTTAGAGAATCCACCTATAATTTTGTCATTAACTATCTATCATAGTTCCCTACAGATTCCCCACTTTTCCCAGGCTCCCAGAGCCACACTGCTCACAACATGTAAGCTGAGAAAACGTACTATTTTTATGATACAGTATAGGGAGGTTGAAGCCTTGCACTAATTGCAAACTAGTATGTAGTATCATCAGTGGAGCTATGACCAACTCCTCTATAAGGCTTACATAAGTGGTGAGTCACACAGTCTTACGAAAGAATAGGGAGCGAGGCTTTCATTATGTTGTTTGCCTAATCAGAAATGTGAAAATAAAAGAACACAGCACTCAGTGGGTTATCTTTGGCTAACAGTAGGCTGGAATTTCTGCAGTTGCACTACTATGATTGAGGCATTTCATTGTTTGTGGTCCCAGCTTATATTAAACAGAGAGGATTTTTTCATAAATCTTTGCCTCTAGGGCAGAGTTAAGGTTGTTTGGGAACCCTAGCTATGCGTTTCCAGGCATTAATGTCTAGAAGCAGCACCACGGGAGTAGAAATGGAGGTACGTGCCTAGGGAGGATACTAGGAGTAAATGAAGAGGCCCAAGGGCAGGGTAGGGTTTGTGAGGATGAGCATGTAAAGAAGCAGTGGAGTGGAAGCTCAACTATTAGGATGACTGAAAAATGGTCTAGTGATGATTTCTAGTCTTTTTTCCGTGCTCTCAGGCAAGTAGCTGCAATTTCAACCACCCCTGCTGTTACCCATGAGCCAAGATACCTACAGACCACAGAAGACAACTGGAGAGTTCTGAGGATGGAAGTTGGCCGTATCTTTTCGTGCAGCAACAGCACTCTTTAAACTGGCCTGATTAACCCATTGCTGCTTCTCATTTTCTGCTGTCAATCCTCTGCACTTCATGTGGTGAACTGGACCAGCAAGCTGGTCTCCTGGTAGAAAATAAATAAATAAATAAAGCGTAGCAACAATATCTTTTTTTTTTTTTTTTTTCCCCAAACATTTGGCTGCAGCAATAGCTGGAGACTGGGAGGAGTGACAGCAGGAAGGAGGCCAGAGCTGAAGAGCCACACCACGAAGTGGCTCAGGAGCTTCAGAGCACCAAAAGGTGAGCGTAGCAGAGCTGTTTGAACAGTCCAGGTTGTAACTCTTTTATTATCATTATTTTAAATGGGTAATTCGGGAGTGGGTGGGGAGCCCACTTAGCGCAGCTACAGCCTCTTTGACACCTCCTTCCCCCGTGGGCCCAGATGCTTGCTCAGTGCCAGCGCTCCCGTCCCACGTAGACTAAGCAGGGGAGGCCGGGCCTCTCCCCCTGCCCCATGCCCTTCCTCTCCTTTCTGCCTGGAAGGGGAGCAATGGCCCTGGCGGCTCAACCAGGGACCGGCAGCGCAGGGCGAGCCCTCAGCGAGGTAAAAGCGCCCCGTGGCAGGCGCTGGGCGGGCTCGGGCTGCCCGTGCCGAGGGCGGGGGGGAAGCAGCGCTGCGGGCGGGCGGCCCTGCACCGCTACCGCCCCCGGGGCCGTGCCCCGCGGAGCCGTTCGGGGCCTCGACGGCCCGGGCGAGGCGTGGGGCCCGTCCGCCGGCGATGGCGGGCCCTCGGCCGTGGCTGGGCTTGGCCTGGCTGCTGGGCATGGCGGCGGCGAGCGCCCTGCCCCTGGGCGCCGGGCCGCGGGACGAGGTGCAGGCGGCGGCGCTGCAGCGGCTGCGGGAGGTGTTCGACATCGAGGAGCTGCCCCCCGACGTGCTGCCCCGCAAGAAGCCGCCGCAGTTCATGGTGGATCTCTTCAACAAGGTGGCCGACGCCAACGGCATCACCCGCGCCCCCGGCCTGCTGGAGGGCGACGTGGTGCGGAGCTTCGAGGACCGAGGGGGGCCGGGGGGCGGCGGGGCCGTGGCCTTAGGGGCGCCCTGGGAAGGGTCTAGCGAGGGGCGGCTGCACCAGCAGCGCTTCTACTTCGATATCAGCGCCATCGAGAGGGGCGAGCAGATGCTGAAGGCCGAGTTCCGAGTGTTCAAGCTGAAGAGGAAGCGGGTGGCCAGGTCCGAGGGGCAGCACTTCTGCAAGGTAAGTGGGGAGGCGACCGGCCGGTTACGCGTTCACACGGGTTTTTGACGTTAATGGTACTGGAAGAAAACGAGAAAGGGACGGAGAGCGAAACCACTTACTGCTTTATTTTTATTAGATTATTGTCCTCAGTGCACAATGATGCTTTCTCTTTGCCTCAAGCATGCGAAGAAGTAGCTACAGGGGTTTGGCTTGGCGCTGTTCTGGCCTTTGGTCCCTGTGGCAGTCAGCTATCCCTAAAGATGCCCTTATCAGACCTATCTCAAACCACACCATGCTTTTCTGGGGTTAGGTATTTTGAAATTCGCATGGAAATTTGACTGCTTGCCTTTTAAAATACTGCTACTAGTCAGAGCAGTATAGGATTCATGGGAAGATAGGGTTTTATAGAGGACTCTGACAGTGAGTGTATCTGTACCTTTGGCAAAGGGCAAATTCAGACTTTTTGCAAACCTGAGGGCCAGGGTGCAGAGTAAGGGAAGATTTTACAGTATCAGATGTTCAAAAGAGAAATGGGATAATCAGGTTCTTCTTCTGTAGTGTCAAACATTCCAGTAATTGCTTTAAACAGTCCAGTGTCCTGCCTCTGTACACACCCCAAAGTAGGTGCATCCACTGATACTTGTTTTTCTGTTGAACTATCTAACGAGAACTTTTTGGTATGATGTGACAAAAAACATATAATCTTGATCCTTCTTGATTTGCTGGAAAAACAATTACTGTCACCTCTTACTGTAATATTTTATTGTTCTTTTCAAGGTGGAATTGTATGAACTCTTGGAGGGTGGAAGTAAGCCACAAAAAAAACATCTCATTGCATCAAGATTATTGTCTCTGTACACAGAAGGCTGGGAAGTATTCAACGTCACGCAGACAGTAAGCAGAGATTTCTGTCATCCATTTTAGTTCTAAATCATCTGCTACAGCAGCAGTCAGCTCATAACTCCAGCATTGCCTTCAGTGCTGGGTTCTGTGCTCGATTCAAACTGAAGGACAGCAGCAGGGGGGATGCTTTCTTTCTGTCTACACTCAAAAGCACACGTGGTGCTGCCTGGATTAAAGAAGTGTTCATTTGCTGCTAGCACCACAGACATGATGAGAATTGAGTAACCCAAACCTGGTCAATAGGAGGGACATCAGGCCAAACACATCAGTGTGATTAAAGCATCTTAGTCCTTAGGCTGTCAAAGGAGATGGCATTGATTGTGGGATAAGAGTAGGTTTTAATTTCTTTTTTTTTTTTTTTTTTTTTTTAATCCTTGTCAAATTATTGTAGAGCAGAAGTGCAGTGTACTTTAACATTGTGTTTCTGGAATTTATCATGCTTTTATGTTTTTGTTTTAACTTTTTCTGAAGAATTCAGTAATTGCTAGTTTGAAGATTTATATATATATCCTTAAGCTATATCGATATTTAAATGCTTTTCCATAGTAAAAACACAAACAAGGTTTAAAATAGTTTCTCGGGTTTAATTCTGTACTCTGACCATGGTTTTAGTTGCCTAAGCTTTATAATCAGACTGAACAGCATGCTAGGATGATTCATTTGAGTTGCATCTTAGTTTGTAATAGCTTTTCTTGAGAATGGCCTGGCCTTATCTATTAGGCTGTAACTGTAGCATTTAGATGAATTAGATGAAGTTAATTTGCTTGATTTCTTCAAATGCCATGTTTGTGTTAAGATTTAAATGAGTTTTAATAGTATGAAAAGTCTGGAGAGTTCATATTATTCTGTTATTAAGATTACTAGGGAAAATAAGGTTCTGGCTAAAGTCAGAGGATTTATTTCAATGTTAATTTTAACTCCTAGACTCATCTATTCAGTAGTAAATTTCCCTAAAACTAATTATTTTCATATAAATGCAGCTATGGAGAATGTATATGGTATTTTTAAATGCTGAATTATTGGTTTAAATATTTAACTCGATTCAGCCTTTACTATACAGTTACCTCACTTACATGATAATATATGTTCTTACACTCCCATAGCCTGTTCCCTTTTCTTAATACAAATGATCCTTAATCATAATGCGGTAGTAAGATTATTGAAACAATATTTTCTCATTTTGTTTTCATTACCAGGTTTCCAAGTGGGTCGGAAACAGAAACTCCAACCATGGCTTTTTGATAACTGCAACACATACATTCAGCAATAAAATTAAGCACAACCTGGTTACATTTGCAAAGAGCCAGGGCAATTTGCAGGAGAGTAGAAATGCTCTCCTTGTCCTCTTCACCAACAGTAATAAACGAAGGTCCTCCAGCTTTGTACCCTCTTCCACAAGTAAGTTTACTCTGTTTCAGTATATGAGCTGTTATCGACTGTTACCTTCTGTTGCCTCATGTATACCACATCTCAGTATTTATGCTCAGGGTTGAGCTTGGTGGAAGTTCATCTTTATCACTGATCAGAGTTTGCTTTGATAGTTCTTGCTTGTAGTTCACCTGACATAACTTTTAAGTCAACTCTACTCAAGTTGTGTTTTCAGGAAATACTCAAAGCCTAGAGGGAACTTGGTTTATTTTGTCTGTAGAGAGGTGGAAGTTCTTGCTCTTTTATAAGCATTATTTATTTTACCTTTGTGGTGAAGTTTGCACGAAAATTGTAGTTTTTGGCTTAGGCTGAAAAAACTCATTGACCTGGAAAACTGTGAAAATGCTGGTAAAGCAACTGTTAGACAGTTATTAAGTGCAGTTTTCAAGGATAGAAGAGGTTGTTAGGTAAGCAATTTAAACCTTTCTGTCCTTGGCTTGGTTTTTAAGCACCTGTTTAACTTCATTGACTAATTAGCATTGTGACTAAGGGCTTTTTTTCATCAAAGACAACACCCTCATTCCTTCAATTACAAAACACTAGTCTTACCTCTCCCGCTGGTCTTCTAGTAAAACCATCTAAGGCTGTGTTTTATAGTCTGAGATAAATGCGAGGAGCAAAATCTGGAAGGAGGAGGAAAAAAACTATTCTGTTTTGGGTTTGGAGGGTCTGTTTGGTAAATCATCACATTTGCACATCAAAAAGAAAGTAGGTAGGACTTGTGTCAACATTAAGAACTAGAAGGTGAAACAGATACCAAAAAGAAATAGGCTGGCCTGTTCATTTTTGTTTTCAACAGGAAATTATTGTAGTGCAATTCTAAATCCCAATTTAATCAATATCAACCTCTGTTGTATGTGATACTATGCCAGAATCGAAAAACCGATTACTATTTTTCAATGAGAAAACTCTGTAAACCTACCTGTTGTTTGAGATCAGTGCATCTACAAAGATTTGTTCTAGCAGCCTATATGTCAGTGGTTTTCAGCCTGTGTTTATGGGTCTTGAGGTCACCATGAATATTTATCAGAGGTTCTCAGAAGATACCTTAAGAAAACAAACCAATTGTCATGGAGCTACATTCTCTAGCAGAGTTCTGTAAGCCTAGTTTTATTTTTTCAGATCTGAAAATTGAAGAAAAAAGATTTTCAAAAATACTGCCTTACAGAAAAGCAGTGTTTTGCAAGTGTGTGGGTAGTTACTGGGAGAACACCAAAGAGAGAAAACACCTGTGATCTCCACCCTTTGTTATCACTTCTAACCACGTGTGATGTAGGAGTAGCCATACAAAGGCCATTAATGCCATTCTGACCACAAATAGCCCTGAAAGGGGCCTGTGGAGTTTAGAGAATATAAACTTCAGTGAGCTTTTATGTTTCTGTTGAATTGAGGCCTTTTAGGCCACAAAAGGAACAAAGATTCGGCAGTTTCTGAAATGTGTCTGAAGTGGCAATTGAATACACACATCTTCCAGTACTTTCACAATTGGTATCATTTTAAAATCTGCTCTGAAGACCTTGATGTAAATTTCTGAAATAGATTTTCTTGCAGAATGCTGTGCTTAAACAATAAATGAACTTACTGTGAAAAAGATTAACATACAACTTCCTTTCTGAACCAGAGCTGAACCCTGCCAAAGATGACACTTTGTTAGGTGTGCCTCATGAACCTCAGATCATTGAAAACAGCAATGCAAGCAGGAGCAGGGGACCTCGGGCTGCAGCAGTGTCTTCCACCAAAAGCCACGTAACAGCATGTCATCGAAGGGAACTCTACGTTGACTTCCATGCTATTGGCTGGTCAGGATGGATTATTTACCCGAGTGGATACAATGCATTTTACTGCAGAGGATCTTGTCTTTTCCCTTTGGGGGAAAGTCAAAATGCAACAAATCATGCCACTGTGCAGTCCATAGTCCATACACTTAAACTGTCTCAAGATGTCAGCACACCTTGCTGTGTTCCGGATGAACTGAAATCCCTCAATCTCCTCTACTTTGATGACAAAGAGAATGTGGTCCTTAAAAATTACAAAGACATGGTGGCGACAAGGTGTGGTTGTCATTAACAGAACTTTTTTTGGTACATATTTGGCATGCACTTGGATTCAGTTTCCCATTTGCCACTGAAGATACCAAGGTAAATGGTGTTTCAGATTATGGGTCATGAGAGCCGGAAGCTCACAAGTGCTTCAAACCCTCCTTCTCTCTCCGTGGCAGTGCAGAAAGGAGTTTAATACTGGCTTTCCAAGAGCTATCAGCTTCCAGTGACTGTGCTGACCTGCATGGAAAGCTCTGTGCCTGTAAACCAGAGGGAACTATTAGAAACAAGAAATTGCTATGTGAAAGAGTCCGAACACATTAAGAGAGTATTCAAGTTAAGATCCTGTTCTATATGTTGAGGCCCTGAATATCCTAAGAAGTAGTAGGTATGTTAGCCTGCCTCAATCCACTGTGGAGGTGCAAGTCTCTTAGTAACACGACCGTATTTAGCTTTGGCTGTTCATGATCCAGTGGAGATGTATGTTCCTGCACAGAACTTTGAGGATAAGTGTTTGCCCAGAGCTAACCTCAGAGGCCTTTTCTGAGTAATGCATAAACTACAGATGGTAATGCACTTCTTCCCCCTTTTCCATCTGCAGTTCTGCCAAATGCAGGGACCTCCTTGTAAGTCCTTCTGGGACTTGCTAGTGCTAGGCAATCCAAGGGAAACAGGTCAGTATATATCTGGGCATCAGCAAACTTGGCTTCTGACTCAGTGCCACAGCTCTGTATGATGGAGGGTCAACCAGTCCCATTCTGAGTCAAAATTCTGCCACCATGGTTTGCTGTGGCTGTTAGGCTCTCTGGCAGCAGACGCTGCCCTTGAGTGTGCATTGTACAGTGAGTGACTGTACAATGGGGTCCTAAGCTTGGGCTGGAACTTCCCTCGTTCAGTTGGATGGAGAAAAAAAAAAAAGACCAAACTTTGGAGGTCTGAGAACATGCTGGATGCTGCCCTGGTCCTGTGCCAAAGGCAAGTTTGATGGAACATACTCAGCTGATTCCCTTCCATTCTTCCTTAGAGCATAGGACACAGGCTTAGAAGGGGTTCCCTGCGGACTTCAAGTCTTGCTACTACTTAATTCAGGCAAACAAGCAGCCTGTTGCAGTTCTTCAGTCAACTCATTGAGTTGTAACTTATGCCTGTTCAAGCTTCTTGTCTCTATTATTCCTTGACGGAGGCCGACATCTCACAGAACTTGGGTAGGAACTTCATGGAGAATATTTTTACTCCAATGTGGTACATGTTAAAAAAATAACATAAAATATTTATGTGTTTTTTCTTTCTGTAAATACTGATGTCTGTAATTAAGAAAATTATTTTATTAAAAAAAATACTTGGTGTATATTAACTTAATCTGTAATACAAAACATTAATTTTCAAATAAAATTATGCAGTGTAACATTGCATTTGTGTGTGTGTGTGTCTATGCTGTATTTGAACCACCTTCCCAAAGTCAAATACTTTGCCAGAAGAGAGGATGTTCTCAGCGGCCTCAATGGACACTGAATGAAGACCTCGGTCTCCATGTCAGGAGCAGAACAAATAAGCAGAATAGAAGCATTTCCCTTCAGGCAGGATGCAGTAGTTATTTCTGAAGAGAAATTTGCATTGGAGCTTCTTGTAATTTTCACTTTAGTTAGGTGCAGAGATTAAAGTTCTTCAGGGTTCTTCACATGTGGTGTGCCTTAAGCAGGTCTTGACCTTCATACCTTGAGATTCTTTCGATTTTCTTGGTCTGTAAGACCTTATTTGTGGGTATGTTGTGATACCTTGTGATGCCTTTATTAATATTTCAGTAAGTTAGAAAGCTAAGATGAAATAAATGCTGTTATTCACAGATTATAATATATGTATGTGAAGGCTGTACCCAGTATGTGTAGACCAGGCATGTACTTACCAGAACTACAGCCTGGAATGGGTGGGGTAGGGAGCCCTGAGCAAGACGAGAATTTAGAAAGGATGGCATGCATGAGTCAGTGTGGAGAGAAGGGTTTTCTCCTGCCTAGTTACTTCTGTTAATAAAAGATCACAGAGGCTGTTGTAAATGACCAGCAGAGCTTAGATACTGATGTCAGAACAGCTCTGAGAGTAACCTAAAGCAGAACTGCTCTGAGAACAGCAGTTAAGGCAAATGTGCTCAGTCCAGAATAGAACAGGCAGTGAAGCATTCAGGAAGCTCATTTCTGTTGGGGACAAAAGGCTTGATTCCCCCAAGGCAAGGGAAATAAGCTGTGATGATGGGATTTCTGTGTTTCCCTCCAGCAGACTATGGGATGAACTATGCATGTGTGAGCTGTATGGTGTAGGTGCAGGGAGTCCAGTGGACTCCCTTTAACCACAAAAGTATCTGTGGCATTTTAAGTTTTTAAGAACTATACCTTGGGAGTGGGAAAATACACCTATAGTGAGAGTCTAGACAAAGGCGTTTCTGAATGGTGACTTCAGCTGATGTAATCTTTGCTCATTTTAGTAGAGACCCTAGGAACTAAGGCCAGCAGTTTTCACTGCCAAGTAACAGTGGGAGAACGGCCGTATTTGGAACAGACTGGCTGGGACAGCTTCGCATACAACGTACTCCAGTCTTCTATCTGTAACTTGACAAATGTTTACAGAACCATAAGCTGCATAGCAGCTGCATCTTTCACTGGCCATCTCAGAGAATTACCCATATTTTTCTAGGATATCTTAATGGGTTTCCTTGTGTTTTAGATGCCAGGAAAAAAAAAGGCAAATTTTCCATTGAAACACAGGTAAAATTAATAAAGAAATTATGGCCACACTGAATATTAGTTAATGCAGTGCTGTACCACAATAGGTTAAATATGCACAGTCAAGCTAGGAGAGCTCAGTAGTTTTGCACACATTAAATTATTATTTTTTTCTGCGCCACTCAACATAGTCTCATTATGCCCCATTAAACCCTGATAATTAAAACAAAATATATTGGAATTGTTTATCCTGGACTTTGTAAGGAAATGAGGTTCATAATAATGCCAGGGGAAAAAATTTACACTGCACCGGAACTTGTAATTAGAATAACAATTAAGCATAAGTATTCTGCTGCTTTTTTTAAAAAAAATATTTATTTATTTATTTATTTATTTATTTATTTATTTTTGAATAAGGATGCCTTTTCTTGATATTGGTCAACAGAAATAAATAAGAATTCTGGAAAAGAAATGCAACAAGCAGAACATGGCATGTTTAGGTGGCGTGCCGAAAAGCAACAGCTAGGGGTTCGAAGGGAATGTAGCTAGTCTTCAGAATGGACTGTCTGAAGCAGGGCTGGTGGCACAGATTGTGTTGTTACTTCACATTCCATCACTGCAGCACCAAGAGACAGCAAGATTGGGAGCAAATTCTCTGATAAACACTGTACCAGTACTGATGAGGAGCATTATCTGGCCCTGACAAGCTCACCTTGTAGAGAGACGAAACAAAACAGAATGACTGCAGGTTTTATATGCAGGGTGATACACCTCAGACAACCAAATTCAGAGAGATGCAGAGGATCCCCCTGCAATGAAGGAGTGAGATCCTTGCAGCATCTCCACTGCCACCAACTCCAGGCCTCACCAAAGGCACGGTGACAGCACACGTAGGGCTGTCTGCACTGGTTCAGCTGGTGGCTGGAAGCGGGGTCCCCATTTTGCCATTCTGGTCGTGTATCCAGCTCTACAGCTTGAGGTTTGCTGGCTTAGGTCTCTGTCAGGCCATGGGCATCTGTATCCTCTCAGTTGCACAACATCAGTGTGATTCTCCTCTGGTAAATAACACAACTTGTGTTCTACTCCCCCAGGCACATGAAAAGCGGGATTTCAGAGGCAGAAAGAGACTATGAGATCCATTTCTGAGACGATGGCTAGGAAGAAAATGCAACCACATGCTAAAGCTGCAGGGTTACACTTGATGCCGTGACACAGAGGATGTCCCAGGTTTGGAACTGGAGGTCCAGGTGAGTGAGGTGCACACAGTCACGTTCATTATTGTATGGGGTGTGGAGCACACCAAACCCAGCCCAATCACCTCTGCGATGGGATGTTAAGCAGGATCTGGGTGTGTTCTGGGGGCGAGAATGGTAAAGAGCAGAAATCTATAAGAGATCAGATTTCTACGGTGCACTGTAGATCAAGTGGTTCTACAAGTGGCATTTCTGTGGTGCTCTTGTCATGAGGAATAGAGGAAGGTGCTTCTTGGCACTGAAGCAAGGAAGAGGTACGCTATGCTGGGGGTGTCCTGTGGCTGTGATGCAGAAGGGATTGGCCTGGAGGAACTGGTCAGGAGTGGTTTCCTTTGTGATTTGTTTTCAGATAACTGAACTGTGCCTGGCCCGAGGAAACTGGAGCACAGGGGTGCTGTAAGCAGCTGCTAGGCCTCTGCTCTGCGGGCCTTTAAAATGATATGAGGCACCCAGTTAGGAGTGTGCTGAGTTGTCTCTGCTTTACCTGGGGAATTTACTATGGGCCCATTCTCCTTGTAGGAAAAGTGACATTTATGTGTTTTACTTAAAAGATCTCCAGAAGTAGTACATGGTTCATAGTCCTGGAGCTTGTCTCCTGAAAGGAGAGGAGCAGAGCTGGGTGCCTGGGCTTTCCCACAGGTACTGAACGCTCCAGACCATCTCCAATCCAGCTCCAGCTGCTTTAAGATCACATGTGCACCGTCTGCAAATACATACATGCAAATACTTCACATGTGGATTCCTCTTTATACACACCCATGCGTATATTGCACTCCTGTTTGTACAGAGGCAGCCTTCCTCCTGGTTCATGAACCAGGATGGTGCTACTTATCTGTAAGTGAGGTGGGGTGCTCAGGGCTAATTTGAGAACATTGCCACTTCCAAGGGAAGCATTTCAATGGCTTTGAAGAAACATATGTCACACCTAGGCCATTTCTCCCCTTCTGGTGTTGAGTGTAGCTCACCTTCAAGGAGAGTAGTTAGCAGGTGTGAAATGACCTGTTGTGAATGAGACAATTGTGCCTTAAAGCAGCTAATTGAATGTTTTCTTTCTTCTTACTGGCTTTATTGCTAGAAGCTATTCAGAGAACAAGAAGGACTGCTAACTTCTTGTTGTCACAAGGATGCGTGCAGTTATAGATTCATGCAGATATTAACTGCCCTAATTCAAAGCTAGATCACAGCCTGTTTTAGTTGTTGAAAACAAAAGCTTTGCGTCTAAGTGGGAAAATGACCTGTTTCTGAGAACTGATGGACCTTTAACTGAAACCGTGATTTGGAGATGCTGTAAATCCTAGCCTCATAACACAAAACAGTGTTATGGCATAAGTCGCAGTATATTGGTTCAAATGCGCTCACAGAAATCGTGTGTGGTTAACTTTGAACTATCAGGTTAGACAGAATCGTCGGGCAGTGTAAAACCAGTGTCTATAGGTGCAAGTCAGTATAGGTTCTGTTCCGTGTCTTCCAGGTAGCTTGAAAGGAGTCATTTGTTCTCTCTCAGGTGCAAGACTTTGCATTTTTTGAACTCTGCGTGGTGCTTGTTGCTTCCCATCCCGAGTAACTGTACATTTCCTAAATGCGGTATTTAGTTTTAACACTGGGTTTTGACAGAGTTTCTCTGCTTATTTTCTTACAAAGATTTTGTCTTGTTAAAAACAAACAAAAAAAAACCCCACTTTTCTTTTAAGATTATGGCAATGCAAAACCATTTCCAAATTCTCAAGACTATAGAAATCCACTGTTCCTGAGTGAACCTATTTACATTTACGCATTACCCTGGGAATTTCACACAGGTTGGCTTGGTAATTGCCTAGCTTGTGAAATGAAAGTAGTTGACTTATTTTATTTTCAGTTGGTACTGTACAATTATGCAAAATTTTGCTCTCTGTTTTTCTGGTGGAAAATGGGTCAGCAAATCATAATACATCCATATCACTTCTGAGATGTCCTGAGGTCTCCTAGGATTATTTCTCCCAGAATATAATAATCTCCTGCTTCCAAATATCATTTATAGTTATTATTGTAGTAAGTCTTTCTGACTCACAACAGTACATTTTGTGAGATGCTGCATTTTCAGCCTTTTTTTTACACTCTTAGAGTAGAACCCAAGACTGATTTCCAGTTGGTACAACACTGGCAACAAGCAGCCCCCAAGTGATGTTTTCAAACAGGGTTTAGAGCCTTGGGAGCTCAAAATTGCTGTGCAGGTGGATGGGAGTCAGAGGTTGCACACCGTGTCCATTTCCAGTTGCCCACCAGCTCCCTCCTCTGGAGGATGCTGCAACCAGTGATGTACTACACATGAGGCAGGCCCACGGCCACCAAGTTCCCATCTGGTTCCTCCAAAAGGTTTACAGACGTGTACAGAAGCAGCTCAGAAGCTGTTTCAAAGACAGCAGTCTTTGGTGAGTGGACAGGACAGAGCATGGCGTGGAGTCAC